CATAAGAAAAAAAAAGAAAGCCACAAAAATAAATTAAAAAAAACCAATATGGAGGGTAAAAAAAAATACAAGGGAGGGAGAGAGAAAAAAGAAAAGAGACTACTCCCTTAAAAAGAAAAGGAAGGAAATCATTAATACCAAAGGTTTTCCTTTAAAATAAAATGCAAACGTACAAAAATTGACTTCAAAAAACAAAAAGAAAGACAAAAACAAGTTCCAAAAGGTCAAAAATCCAAATAGCTATTATGAAAAGTATACTAGTAAGGAGGGGGTTTGTTAAAGTAAGAAATAGTGCAGCTTAAAAAAAAAAGAACACACTGCACCTTGTTTGATTATCCAAGGCTTTTGTTAAAATTTATAACTCTCTTCTCCAGAGTCTTATCACCTTTTTTTTCCTATAAGCTTCAACACTAGACTCCAGCTGTTGATAGAAACCCAGAAGAGCACCTGCAATAATACTCTCTCATGCTCTTCCCTCTATCTTATCAAATAGCAATGTCCTTGAAAAGAAGTCTCAGTTCTTTCTCAGCTTTGTCTGGTCAAGAAAAAGAAATAGAATATTCCCAAGCCTCTAGTTGGCAGTGTTACAAAGTTTCTTTGCTTTCACTTTCCCCCTCCTTTTCCAAACAAAATATAATAAAAATTCATTAAAAAGGGAAAACGATATTTAAAAAGATGACTAAAAGGGAGTCTCTAGCCTAGAATATTATAAAGTCAAAAAGGAGAGAAAGAATAGGTGAAAGAAGAAAAAAAAACAGTCCAGTTTCAAAATATAAAATCATGTGTAGAAAATCCAGCAATGAGAAAAATAAAAATAAAAATATTACTTTGACATTCCTGTTTAAAATTGCCACTTAATTACTTCTGTCAAAACTTTTACAGATTCTTTCTTTTCCTTAGGGTGTCCTTTCAAATCTTAAAATAAAGAAAAAGTTCTCACCAAACTGGCACACTTTCTCTTTCCCTTCTCTTTTGTTTCAGAGCTGTCCCAACTTCAGCAGCTTTAATGGCTGCCTCTTTGCCGCTGGCAAAAAGAGCTTCTCCTGGATCTACCAGGGACTTTGTGGTATCCCTGGGATCGACAGGATGCGCTCTTTACATTCACCATCTCTTCGGGCCGGTTTAGATCCGATTGGACCATCCAGGAGCAAAGATATCGGCAGCGATCTCAGACCTCAAAGATTGCATGCCGTATCATCGCGATGCCAGTTCCGCCCTCCCAAATATATTAAATCTTATATTGATTCTGTATAACTTGCACATGATATACAGCTGGAGGACTGGAGCCAGATGTCTAGAAACTTGTCACCCCTTGAAGAGATAACAAGATGAGAAGATGAAAAATTCCAGCTCGGAAGGTACCCCTGGGAACTCTCCTAAAATATGTTCCCAGAGAAGGGGAGGGGAGAATTAACATGTTGGTTCTTTGTTTGACTAAATCCACATCTAAATAAGGGGAGGAATTCTAACTCCCTTTATCTATTACTGTATGCCTGGAAACATCTTAGACTCAGCTTTGACTAGTGCTGGGATTCACTCCCTTTCAATAAAGGATTCCTTTTGAAATGTCTAGCTTTCAGAAGTTCATTCTTTTTGGTTGAAGGGAAAAAGTCCAGTGCTTACTGTTCCGAACTAAGCAGACTCGTAAGCCTGCAACTCTAATAGTTTTCTTTCCACGACAGGTTCATAATCCTGCACTTTTGATTGGTCCGTGAATAGTGGATCGTGATTGGTCGTTTTGGGCTAATCCGATTGGCTAATAGCGGGCCGCCGTGATTGGACGCTCCAAGCGCGGCAAACTCAAATAATTGGTTGATGAGACAGCAGCCAGCTCTATAAAAGGAGCTGCTGCTGCCCGAGTATTTTCGCTCTGTTCTGAAGTCACTAATAAAGAGTTTGGAGTCACTATTCGATGCCTCGTCTCCGTTCCTTGTACCCACTCTCCCAGATCTAACACTGGCGACGAGGGTGGGATGCGGAGATGATAGAGCTGACTGAGCACTCGCTGAACACTAACAGAGCACGTGGCTGAGAGCGCACCAATAGCGGCAGAATGACCAGCGGCGCCATACCACCCGCTCCATTTGATCCAGCCAACGAAGACTGGGACTCGTATATGGACAGGTTTCAAATGTTCCTGGAAACCAATAACTTGAAGGATGCTACGCCTGGCAAGAAATGAGCTGTGTTCCTAACCCATTGCGGACCCGCCGTTTTCAAGATGGCAAAGGCACTCGCCAAACCAGCAGAAGTCAAAACGATGGACTGGGATCCCTTGCTCCCATCCTCAGGGCCCATTATGCCCCAGCGGTGCCAACCCTCATTAGAAGACACAAATTTTACCAGAGGGACCAACGGGAAAGCGAGAGCATTGGAGACTTCGTAGCGGACCTCAGAAACTTGGGTGGACTCTGTGGCTTCGCAAATCTGGAAGAAGCCATGAGAGATCGGATTGTTCTGGGTCTGAGATTGCCGTATCATCGCGATGCCAGTTCCTCACCACTCAGAGCACGATTATGGCGAAGGGGGACATCGCCCTCGCAGATGTCATCGCCAATGCTACTGCAGCAGAAGCAACCAGGAAGTCAGCAGCCCGAATGCGCCGAGCGAACGGACCCAATCGCCACCTCGCCAGCGAAACTGCTCTTCCCTCTGAAAGGCACACAACGGCCACCCACCATGAAGACCTCGAATCCTCATCAAAGTGAGGAAGAGGAAATCAGGCCGGAGCGCGATCAGCGAGACCAGTGGAGTCGTAAGCCCCCGTATCAGTGTGCTGGATGCGGGGGAAACCACCCACGGTCAGACTGCAAGTTCCTAGACACCCTCTGCCGTTCCTGTGGGAAGAGGGGCCACATTGCAAAAGTCTGTAGGGGCGAGCGAGGTTCCAGCCCAAACCAAAGAGAAAATAGTTTCCGGCAGACAACAGGCACCCCACCATTAAATCGGGACCGCCCAAGCAACCCATGGAACCACTACAATAGAAATCGAGCACCAGCCACTTCTACCAGACGAGAAGAGGCGCACCAGACCATCACCATCGGCCACGCTTCATCCCTTGATGCAAGGAAAATCTGAGTAAGGGTCACCATTGAAGATCGACCATGCGTTATGGAAGTCGACTCCGGGTCTTCCCTATCAATGGTCTCCTGGAAGACCCTCAAACAGCTGATCCCTGACATCCGCAGCCAGGATCTCAGCACTCAGAAACTTATATTGAAGGACTATCAGGGAAATCGAATCCCAGTCGCCGGTTCCAGTCACGTCCAAGTCTCCTTCAAAGACCACACCGCAACCCTACCTCTCACTGTTGTCGACAAAGACTGACCCAGCTTATTAGGCTTGCAGTGGTTCGCGCCGCTAGGAATTGAACTAGCAGGCATCAACCAGACCGTAAGCGATGACTGGGAGGCGGCCCTCATCCAGGACTTCCAAGAAGTTTTCACCGAGAAATTAGGCAAGTACAAGGGGTCCCCCATATCGTTTAATCTCTGCCCTGATGTTGCACCCATTCGCCTTAAGCCTCATCGAGTGCCCTTTGCACTCAAACCAAAAATTGATGAACAATTGGACAAGTTAATAGCCCAGGGCGTATTGGAACCCATCGACCACGCCCGATGGGAGACCCCAATTGTAACCCCCATAAAACCTGACGGCTCTTTGAGAATCTGTGGGGATTACAAGGCCACCCTGAACCACACACTGCAGCAGAGCGCCTACCCCGTGCCCGTGGTCCAACACCTTCTTCACTCACTCGGGGGCGGGAAAATATTCGCGAAGCTTGACCTAGCCCAAGCGTACCAGCAGCTGCCCGTAGATGCAGAGACCACAGAAGCCCAAACTATAGTCACGCACAGAGGTGCATTCAAATGTAACAGAGTCCAGTTCAGAGTGAGCGTAGCACCTGGCATCTTTCAAAGTCTGATGGAAAGGTTGCTGCAGGGCATAAAAGGGGTTGTACCCTACTTCGATGATGTCCTGATAGCCGCCCCCACAAGAAGCCAACTAGAAAAACACCTAAGGATGGTCCTTCAAAAATTTAAAGACGCAGGCCTAAAGGTTAAGAAGGAAAAGTGCCAGCTATGCACTGAGAGGGTTGAATTCCTTGGTTACCTTCTTGACAAACAAGGAATTCACCCTACTGAGAAGAAACTGACTGCTATAAAAAATGCTCCAAGACCTAGGAACAAAACGGATCTCCAAGCCTTCCTGGGACTCATTAACTTTTATAACATCTTCCTACCCCAGAAGGTGACTGTCGCTGAACCCCTGCATAGGCTCCTCGACAAGAAGGCTTCCTGGTTCTGGGGACGTCGAGAAGAGCAGGCTTTCCAGCAAGTAAAAGACCTTTTAACATCAGATGCTGTATTGATACAATATAAGGAGACTCTACCATTAACTGTCACCTGTAACGCCTCGCCGTTCGGAGTAGGAGCCATCCTGAGCCACGTCCTGCCAAACGGTACGGAGGCACCAATTGCATTTTTTCAAGAACTTTATCTAAAACTGAGAGAAACTATAGCCAATTAGATAAAGAGGCCCTCGCTATTGTGTCTGCAATCAAACAATTCCACGAGTACGTGTATGGAAGATCCTTTTCCATAATCACCTATCACAAACCATTGCTTGGCATTTTGGCAGGAGATAAACCAACTCCCCACATCCTATCGCCAAGAATGACACGCTGGTCAGAATTTCTAGCCGCATACGATTACCAATTAAGACATTGACCGGGGAAAACCATTCCCCACGCTGACGCCTTAAGCCGCTCACCACTACCTGAAGTCCTAGACGATCCAGCTCCAACCCTATCCACACTGCAAATCGAGACACTCCCTTCACCACCACTAACTGCGCAAGACATCGCATCAGAAACAAAGAAGGACCCTTGTTTGGCACGGGTCCTCAGCTGGGTGGAGAGAGGTTGGCCTGACAGCAAACCCAACAACGCATTTAAACCTTTCAAAAACAGACAGACAGAACTTTTCTCCCAAAAAGGGTGCGTGTTGTGGGGAGACAGAGTTATCATCCCAGGAAGACTACAAAATAAAGTCCTGAAACTACTGCATGATGGACACCGGGGCATCGTGCGAATGAAGGCACTAGCAAGGAGCTACGCATGGTGGCCAGGTATGGACAGACAAATAGAAACCTGGGTGGCCACCTGCAACAAGTGCCAGGAAACACGTTCGGCTCCACCAAAAGCCCCACCAACAGAATGGGAAACGCCCAGAGGTCCTTGGTCCCGTATCCACATCGATTTTGCGGGACCTGCCAAAGGACATACATTTCTCATAACAGTGGATGCCTATTCAAACTGGCTCGAGGTCCACAAAATAAAGAGCACCACCACAGAGGCAGTCGTTAAAAAATTAAACAGACTATTTGCTACACATGGCTTACCAGATGTCTTGGTTTCAGACAATGGCCCGCAATTTACTGCTTTGGTGTTTGAACAGTACCTAGCAGACCGGGGGATACGCCACGCCTTAACATCGCCTGCTCACCCTGCGGCCAATGGTAGGGCTGAACGCATGGTCCAGTTCACAAAGAAAACATTACACAAAATGGAGCAAGGAAACATCCATGACAAAGTCACCAGGATGCTTCTCCTTTAACATATTACTCCAAACAGCACCACGAACAAAAGCCCAGCCGAACTCCTGATGGGCAGGAGACTTAGATCACATCTCGACCGTCTGCACCCTGCCTACATGCCGGAAAAACCCCTGGGTTCCAGCAGCAAATATCGCACATTTAAGGTAGGCGACCCAGTTTTCGCAAAAAACTTTACCGGTGACCCATTGTGGGTCCCCGCTAAAATAACACAACTTACGGGTCCCCGTTCCTACCGTTTAGAAACCACAGATGGGAGACTGTGGAAGCGCCACATTGACCAACTACGCTCCAGGTTGACACCTACCCCCTTCACAAACCCTGAACTCCAAACCAGGGGGGGAAGGGAACTCGAGGGGGTTGAAAACGAACTAGCACCTGACCCAATACACGAAACCCCGCAATCAGTACAAACAAACCCAGAATATTTACCATTCAAAGAGGAGTGGTGGCAGGTGGTCATCTCTCCGAGAAACAGCAAAGCGGGATCAACAAGCCCAGAGGATCCAGATAACAGCCTTGAAGGGAGTAGTGATGGCACCCCCGAGTCGCCCAGCGCAGAAGTCGGGTCACCCTTACAGCTGGACACAACAAACAGCCCACGGGAACCAGAGTCCGGGCAAAGACTGGTTGAGCAACGCAAATCAGGTAGACAGGTGCGGAGGCCTGCCTACCTGCGAGAATACATCACTCCACCCTTGAGACGGAACCCAGAGGGGAGGGGTGTTCCGAACTAAGCAGACTCGTAAGCCTGCAACTCTAATAGTTTTCTTTCCACGACAGGTTCATAATCCTGCACTTTTTATTGGCCCGTGAATAGCGGATCGTGATTGGTCATTTTGGGCTAATCCGATTGGCTAATAGCGGGCCGCCATGATTGGACACTCCAAGCGCGGCAAACTCAAATAATTGGTTGATGAGACAGCAGCCAGCTCTATAAAAGGAGCTGCTGCTGCCCGAGTATTTTCGCTCTGTTCTGAAGTCACTAATAAAGAGTTTGGAGTCACTATTTGATGCCTCGTCTCCGTTCCTTGTACCCACTCTCCCAGATCTAACACTTACAGTATGACTATTACTTTTTTATGCTTGTATATTTGTATATTTTAATCTTTTGTACTAAATAAAATATTTTTAAAAAGTTAAAAACAACAACAATGCTTGTTTGCCACTGCTCACCTCTACTATTGACTTTGAACACTGCAAGGGGGAATATCAAATATCATGGATCAATGGTTTGAACATGAATATCCTGTAAGTAATGTTATGTGCTGAAACTAACAAAGAAGAAAAATCTGGAACAGGAAACAAATTCTGGTGAGATTTGTGGCTAGCTGGGCACCCTTTTTTGAACAGGATGATGTCTTTGGCAGAGATTACAGTTGCATGAAGGATTTGACCAGCAAAGCCTATCTGGTCTAAGAAGAGCATACATAACCCATGTATACTTTGTACAGCTGCTCCTTGTGAGTGGATTGTAAGAACAAGTTTTTTCAACAGCCATGGTTGATTGACTGGGGTTTCATCTTAACTCACAGTCACCACACAGCCTTTTTATGGGAAAAAAATCTTGACTAAGCTACATCTCTTAATTACCTTTGAAATTATTTGATACTTTTTTGAAATATTAAGCACTAGTGATAAAAATGTATGCCTTATTTCAACTGTTTTGGAATAAACTATGTGTAATGTTCTAATGTTCACAGATTAATTGATATTTGATTTCTTTTTTGTAACTCTGATGAACTGTCTGTTAGTTTTGGACAGGGACAAATGCAGCAGGATTAATGGTAGCTACTCCCTCAGCTGCTGCAAAGAGAATTGCCTTGTTAGTTGACCTATTTTTATTTTACTTATTGGCAAAGAAGGATGAGTGTCAGATCTCTGTATCTGCCATTCTTCAATGGAAGAAAGGGAGGGGTTTTTGGATTTGATACATTTAATTCTTTTCCTCTCTATGTATCCTAAATATCCTATTTCTTATATTGGCTTTGTATAACCTTTTACACGATTTATAGCATGTTCACACCTGCAGATTGGTGGAATCCACATCAGACTGCGGGGAGGGATTCTAATTCCTTTTATCTTAGTTGCATACCCTGAGGCATACCCTGCTTTGAATTTTGACCTGCTTTTACCCCTCTTCAATAAAAGATTCCTTTTGGAATATAAAGTTTTCAAGAGTTCATACTTATATTTTGAGGGAGGGGGGGAGAGGCTGATTCTTACATAGAGAAACTCTTCATTTGGGGAAAAGACTCAGTTCCATAACTAGTGTTTACAGCAGCTTCCTCCCCCCAAGTCAGATGATTTAAAAAAAATATTTGCTATTCAAAAATGTTCCATTAGTTAGAAATAACTGATTGTGCTTTTATGCTTAAAATGTTTTGCTCTGCAATAGATAAGGAAATAATCTGCAAATTCCTGGCTGACCGTATTTTTATTCGTGTTATGCAATAAACTATTTTTCTTCTTTGTAGTATATGCTATATAAATGTAGCTAGATAAAATACACATTTATTTATATTTGTGCACATTTGTATGAATTTATCAAGCATTTGTGCACAGAGACATAGGTACAGGGGAAAAACATTTTATGCCCACCTATATCCTATCTATAAATGTTAAATAATTAGTGTTGTAGCCATAAAGCTTATATATTCCTTGCCAATGACATCTTCAAGGTCTCTGTGCTGCCTACTGCTTGACCTTGATTTAAAACACATACAGAATAGAAACCTTGGAACCAAGATGAGCAAGATTCATTCTGACACAAACCAGATGCAACAAAACAGGACACACAAACACACACACACACATTTTCTTTTTGTTGCTTTTTAAACTCCTCTTCTATTTTTTAAACCAATTCTTGTACTCTGGACGTACAGATTGATCTATGTAGTACAATGCCTTTTTACTATTCTAATTGTAAACTTGAACAAGAAATAAATGCTTGTTATTTCTTCCTAATAATATATACTGGCATCCGACAGAAAAACAAGATGTCTTTGTTTCATTCTGGAGTTAATTAATTGAAACAATTTGTACTTGGAAAAAACAAAATGTTCTAGATAATAATATTTTGACTAAGTGATTATATAACTGAAGTACAATCAGATCTCTCTCACACTGAATACTGAACTTTTGTTTTCTGTTATGTCTGTTTACAACTGTTTATTAAAAAATTCACAATTTAATATAACAGTTCAATATATCTTTTTATGTTTAAGTATGAGCAAAATTATAAAAATTTGCCTGAGCTTTTAATTGGGAGTTTTATTTTGAATTTCACATTCTTAGAAACTGACTAGAATGGAAAGAATAAGATACCAGAGCAATGCGAGGGAGATAAAATAATTATTAAGACCCATTGATTTTAATAGACACAAGTATATGTTTATAGGATTTTAAACACAAAAGCTATAAACGTGTTCACAACAGATACTAAATTGATCTGGAGGTCCATACCAGGATTCCTAATGATACTGGTTACTGCATAATGTTGCTATACTATGCAACAGAAATAAACAAAATGGACCAGTTTTCAATAATGTAAGAATTGTGCCACAACATAGTATTTTCCTTGTTTCTTCTTTGCTTATAAGAAGTACAATAAAGCACAACTTAAACTAATGTTTGTTTCAAATATCTTGTCGAAGCTATTGATTTCTGTTTCATTAGTAATTTTTTGTAAGTCTTTGTTTTGGTGTGTCAGCTTCAAATGATAGCTTTTATCAATTTTACTCCTAACTCTTTGTTAACTCTTGCCAAATACTAACAAATACTTACTATTTTCCGCCTTCCCCTTAAATTTAGCTTTCAATCTCAATTTAATTCAATATTACAATATACTTCCATTCATATGTGGAAGTATGGGAGAAATCTGTTTTCCTGTCTTGCTTATGAAGTGCAGATCTTCATATCTTGTAGATTATATGTTGTTGTTGTTGTTAGTTGCGAAGTCATCTCCAACCCATTGCGATCCCAGGACAACATTCCTCCAGGCCTTCCTGTTCTTTACCATCCCCCGGAGTCCATTTAAGCTTACACTGACTGCTTCAATGACTCCATCCAGCCACCTCATTCTCTGCTGTCCCCTTCTTCTTTTGCCCTCAATTGTTCCCAGCATTAGGGTCTTTTCCAGGTAGTCTTTTCTTCTCATTAGGTTGCCAAAGTATTTGAGTTTTATCTTCAGGACCTGGCCTTCTAAAGAGCAGTCAGGGCTGATCTCCTCTAGGACTGACCAGTTTGATTGCCTTGCAGCCCAAGGGACTCGCAGGAGTCTTCTCCAGCACCATAGTTCAAAGGCTTCAATTCTTTGGCGCGCAGCCTTCCTTATGGTTCAACTTTCACAGCCATACATTGCAACTGGGAAAACCATAGCCTTGACTATATGCACTTTTGTTGGCAGGGTGATGTCTCTGCTTTTTAGTATGCTGTCTATATTTGCCATAGCTTTCCCCCTCAGGAGCAAGCGTTTTTTAATTTCTTGGCTATAGTCCCCATCTGCGGTGATCTTGGAGCCCAGGAAAATAAAATTTGTCACTACCTCCATTTCTTCCCCATCTATTTGCCATGAATTGAGAGGGCCAGATGCCATGATCTTAGTTTTCTTAATGTTGAGTTTCAAGCCAACTTTTGCACCCTCTTCCTTCACCCGCATCAAGAGGCTCTTTAGTTCCTCTTCACTTTCTGCATTAGAGTGGAATCATCTGCATATCTGACATTGTTGGTATTCTCCCAGCAATCTTAATTCCAATTCGTGATTCATCTAGCCCCGCCTTTCTCATGATGTGATTTGCATATAAGTTAAATAGGCAGGGTGACAGAATACAGCCTTGTCAAATTCCTTTCTCAATTTTGACCCAATCAATGGTTCTGTGTCCAGTTCTCATTGTTGCTTCTTGACCTGCATATAGGTTTCTCAAGAGACAAATAAGATGGTCTGGTACTCCCATCTCTTTAAGAACTTGCCACAATTTGTTGTGATCCACACAATCAATGG